TAAAACTTTTTTCCCCCTTCCCTATCCTGCTGTAGTGACTTACCTTAAATGATGTCTCTTAATCCAATCATCTTCTTCTTTACTGTCTCTCCAGCAATGCGGCGGGTCTCTGATCCAGCGCTGACTCCTGTGTGCTTGCTGGCACTTCCTGTCCCACGGTGTCTGTGCGGGTGCACGCTGCTCCATAGACTTGCCTTGTGTCTCTCCTCGTCCCCTGGCCGAACATCTGAACTGCGCATGCCCCCGCCCCAAGATCCTTTACGGCCGCCCGCGACTTCAGATGTTCGGACGGGAGCGTGCGGCAAAGACACAGGTAAGGTTAAACCCTTTTTAAAATGTGTGGTTTTTTTTGTGCATATATCCACTGCTTGCTAGCAGTAGATATATGCAAAAACACGCAAGGGTTTAATAATCCTTTAAATAGGCTGACTGGCTGATTACAAGTTTGAATCCATGGGTGATATAAATCACAGAACACAGTTAGTTTGAAATATTAATCTCATCCCATAATTATCTTTTCTATGGGTTCCAAAAATGATTCCAGGCAATTTTAGGATATCTTTGCAGAATAGCAAAATGTATCTCTTTTCACACCATCTTTGCTGTACTCTGACACGCCAATGGCATGAATGAGACAATTGCTTTTAATTTTATCACCCCTCCAGGGCAATGCAGCATTGTTTGAGTGAGCTGTAAGGGTACCAATAAACTTCTCCATCTTTGTATTTTATTTAGCTCTCCCTCTTCACTTTTTACTGCATCTGGAAAAAAATATGGTGTTGCATTCTCGGTTTATTACTTTTCTGGTTGCTTGGACATCTTTTATTTGTGTCACCAAAAAGCATTGACAAATGGTTAGGTATGGGTCCATAAAGGTTATTTCCCCCCCCCTAACACCAAGTTGCCTGTATTTACTGTCCCTCCATATTGTACATAATACTTTTTTTCTATATATCTATATATATATATCTCAGGGGTGTGGAATTCCTATCGCAGTTTCGGGCGCCGGGCGAGTTGTTTTTTTGTACACTTAGCCCCGCTCCGGGCAAGCAGAGCTAATTGTACAGTGTGGAGCCGCCGCCGAGAGGCCCCGCTCCTCTAGCGGACCCGAAACCACGGAATTGTGCGTTAAAGGGCAAGTTCACTTTCCCAGGTAATATGGGAAAATGGAATTACCCGAACAAATCTGGCCCCCGTCTCTCCCAAAACCCCCCGGCTATACTTAACTTTCAGCAAACAGTCCTTACCCTCTGCCGGTACAGGTGTACTGTCCAGCACAGTCCTGCCCCAATGCATTTTGAATTTCGCTCGCAAATTGCAAGCACTCATTGGTCAGCGTGGTCTGGGGACCACGCTGACCACTGAGAAGCGCTATTTAGCACAGACCAATACAGTTTTGATTAGGGATGCACAGATGCAGAGTATTTGGGCAAGTACTTGTACTCGCCCAAATGCTCGATATCTTCTCCAATACCTGAACTTCTGGTCAGAGGAAGACTTCCTCTGACCGGCAGTGCCGGAGGGGAACATGGAGCCAGCTTCCCGTGCAATCAGGAAGTGGGTCAGCGACTAATGACCCGTCTCCCAGTTTCCTGATTGGCCAGGAAGCCAGCTCCTTGCTGATTGGCTGGGAAGCCAGCTTCCCAGCTAATCAGCATTGAGCCGGCTTCCTGGCCAATCAGGTAATTACTTGCCGCCCGGTTTTCTGATTGGCCATGAAGCTGGCTCGATGCTGATGGGCCAGGAAGCCGGCTTCCAAGCCATTCACAATCAAGCCGGCCAAACATGGAGTCGGCTTCCCTGGCAGTCAGGAAGCCGGGTAGCATCTCATTACCCGCTGCCCGGCTTCCTGATTGCCGGGAAGCTTGCTCCATGCAAACGGAAGCACCGATACTCGGTGAGTACCAAAAGCAAAATATCGGTACTCTATACCCAAAAACCGGTATTGGTGCATCCCTAGTTTTAATTTAAACTATTTTTTTGTATTGGGACAAGTAGATTGTTATGAAGGACAAGTAGATTTGGCCCCCGCTTTAGCCCTTGGACAAGTAGTTTTTTCAAAAATTTCCACACCCCTGATATATATATATATATCTATCGTGATGGGTCACTTGTGCTTAAATGATCTTTTGTTCATAGTTGCTACCAGTAGATGGCACTGTGTACTCATCTAAAGTGGCAAACCATCTCCTTACTATAGAACCCTGCAGATGTTAAGAGCAGGCCACACCGTCCATTATATAGATCATGTATTCGTTTTTGTTCTTTTTAAACATTTTATTATGGAAGGAATTAAGTGCTAAAAAATAAACGTGTGTGTATATATCTATCTATATAGATATATATATCTATATAGATAGATATATATAAAAGATTTTATTACAAGTTTGTGCTGGTTAGTTGCTTCAGTTAATCCCTTGTTTTTCATTGTAAGGTGCACATCTACTAAATGCAATGGAATTTAATGTTTGCTTACAAAAGGTCAGATAATGCTGGTTTCATAACATAATTTGGGCCACTTCATAGCCCTATAAAGTGCATCTAAACCCAATTTTTCAGTATGCCAGTCCCTAGATGTGGTGGCTACATTGGTTTGGTTTCTTTTCCTTTTTTTTCATGTGGTGATCAAGGCAGTAACATGCTTCCTGTCCTAGGGTGACCACACTCACTTTTCTGTAACTATGGAGGAGCAGCATTGTCACCCTAGGTCAAGAAATGTATTAGGACTGCAGAACACCTCTCCTCCTCACCATAACATGAAGGAAGGTGTTATGTAGTCCTCTGGGAGCAATGCTAACTGATGGCAATGCATCGAGGGACAAAGAAGAGAAAGTTATCACCTCACTAGATTACTGGCATGATCAACTACTTGCATTTATTGAACAGATCTTTCAGTAGAATATTTAACAGACTAAAAGGGAGCAAATTTGAGACATTCATTGTTGGGGTAGAATTTGCCAATATTAGTTTTTTGGCGCACATGCATGTTTGAATTTGTTTTAGAAGTATTTACTCTTGGGATTGTGAGTATTATTTGGACGGTTTCCATAAGTGTCACTGGAAATGAAGGCTACCTTTTAAGGTTTACTGTTCTTTTCTGCATGAATATTCAAGAATGCCTATGTACCTACTCTCCAATCTTGGCAGCACTGGATCCTAACCTGCATAGTTTTTTCACCTAGAACAGTCATGCTTTTCTTGGCACATTATTTACCTCCATCTACTTGGCATGAGGTTACTAGTTCTAAAAACATAATTTACACCCTAGGTTCACAACTGGTGTGTTCAGTGGGTCGCCGTATGCCTTCCACTTTTCTAGGTGAGGGGCTCCTCTATCTTCCACTAGAGCAGCACTGTCAGTTGTTGTGCCAAGCTGCCTTTCAAAATATGCTGCGCAGGACTGAGTGTCAGCTTTAGGTGGGGCAGTGCGACTCGTTTCGTGATTTAATGGCCAAGGACAAATGTGGGTCCTGAGGTTACACAGGTTGAGAACCACTGATTTTAGATTATTTCATAGAATAAAAAGGTATCAAACATGTTTAAACACTTTATTAGCTTAGTGATGGTTTTCTTGCATGCATTAAAGGAGAACTATGGGGTTAAGGCTTTTCCCCATAGTTCTCCTTAGGGTAACGGGAGGATACAAACTAGCGTCCTCCCGTCACCCTAGGCTCAATATACCGCGAGCTGCTGCTTTAGTCTCATTGTCGCAGGTCGGCTAGAACTATGAGGTGAGTGAAAAGCACTCGCCTCATAGTTCTCCTTTTAGCTTGGTTACATAGTTGCCTAGTATTTGAGGTTGACAAAAGACACAGAACTGTGTGTGTATGAGTCCCTTTATGATCTAGTATTTGTGTACCCGTACCACTGTATGTTATGGTTTCTTAGGATGGTTATTTACACCGTGTATTAAAAAACCCTTTTTCGATCCTGCAGGCTTACAATAGTAGATGTTCTTACTCTTTGTGAGAACTGTGCTGTGATGCAGGTGATGTGGGTTGAGCAGGTGTTCCTGTAAATGTATCTCAAGAGTCACAGTTGTCCTTTTTTAATTAGCAAGGGCTCAGAAAGGACAGCCATGGTGGTCATGTTGTTTGGAGTGGACAGATTGTTTTGTGACCTAATGTTACATTGACTAAACTATTGACACAAAGAAAATGACACATTTTAAAATGCCTTTTGATGAGTCCTAAAACATGCAGTGGGTATTGACTTCTCTGGGGTGTGTGGAATGGCACGTCCTGTCCTATGACCCCACTGTGCTTCCTGTGAAAGCTGTTAAACCTTTTACTGCCCCATGGGAAAAACCTCTTCCAGGATTTTGAAACAAAAGCATTGCAGTGTTCCCCCTGAGTGAGCACCTCTGCCTTTATGGGGCTCTTACGACCCACACTTTATGGGAGAAAGCTTTTTAAGGGCCTGACACCACTTGACTTTCATTTTGCTTTCAAGCCTGGGAACTTCCCAGAAAGAAAATGTCCTTGTGTCACAGCCATAGGGGCAAGCATAACACTTTCATCCTCTTGCTGCAAATGAAATTATCGCTTGCTGAACATCTTTCCTCTGTGAAAGACAACCTGCACTTCCGGATGATGCGCCCTGTGTTTTCATTTTGAGGAAAATACTGTACACAACCCATGTGGCCACTCTGCTTATTTGGTTGACTCCACTCCAAATAGATGGGTGGGCTTTGCTCTTGATCCTGCTCTTGTGAAACCTTGAAGCCTACAACAGTTCATTCAGTAAAGTTCTGGCAGTTTGAATGATCAAGATTTGCTGTGGAAGCTTATATATACATGCACTGAATTCAGTTGGCCTGCCCCCCATTACTTTACCCTAAACTAACTTGCATTCATAAATGGTAATTCTGCACACCAATCGCAATTTAAAGCTTCCCATTACCCAATATATTAAAAATTACCAAAAATCTTCATCTTTCATTTTGTTGAATCTATAAAAGATGACATGACTTAATATATTCGGTCTTCTATTTTGTACAGAGAAACCGAAAAGAAAGTGGTGAAGATAACAACTGGAGTGCCTGAGGTTGAAGTAAGAAATTGATTTGTATTATTACACTGTCTGTAAATGATCTGATTCAATTAATATCTTTCTTTTAAAAGGCTGATTTCATTTTTCAACAAAAATAATAGAAGTTACATGGAGTCAAAGAAGAAATCTGGGAATTTTAAAAACTCTACCTTGCAGTGGGGCTACCTGCACTGCAAGGTTTAGGTGTTTGTTTTTCTCTAGGGGATGGAATAAAGCAGATATAATCACCCGACCCTCGATTCAGCCGAGCTGCTAGACTGGTCCCTTGCAGCCTCTTGTCCCCCGGGCTCTGGTGGTCTAATGACAGCTGACATCATCACTTCTATTGCACGTCCATTGACTTGCATTAGACCTGTGGACGCTGAGGAGCATTCCACAGCCAGAGTGCATGTGTGTGCTGACTGCAGTGGGACCGAGGATCAAGTTAATGTGTATCTGTTTTATTCCATCCCCTAGAAAAAAATGAGCACTTAACCCTTGTAGTACAGGAGTATAGCCCCACTGCAAGGGAAAGTTTTTTTAAAATGCCCGGAGTTCTTCTTTAAAAAGCTACCTATAAGAAATGTACACGTAAAGGTATCTCCCTGTCCAGGCTTGATGTAATATTGCATTGTAGTCTGTTCTTCTATATAGGTTGCCATTGGAAGATAAAGTGGACAACATAACGACGGACTGCATTTCTTGTGTGGGATATTTTTGCATAGTTAGCAGTGTGTGGGAAGATCTCTTTGCTGTATGCCACTAACATTTTATCTCTTTTGATTATTATATGAAATTAGCCATAAATGCTATAAAACATTTTTTTATCAGCATTCTGTGATTCATATTTTGTGCCCCTTTTAGTGAAAACAATAAAATGCTATCCAAGAGTTTATTAGAAATAAAAGTAGGCTGCTGCTGTTGGGAAGTCTCTGATGTCTCTCACCTTTACATGCCCTTATCTCCAATTTTTAATAATTGGCTTCATTGTTCTGTCCTCCAAGAAGGGTGGCTGGCGTAACTCCTTTTAAAATTGTTATGCACATTTCACATCTCAGCCTCCTCTGGGGTTTCTCGCCTGTGTCCTCTGCAGGTCAATTGCTTGTGTAGTTTATAAAATCATCTCTGAGACTGTTTAAAGGAAGCCTGCCATGAGAGAAATATGGAGGCTGTTGTTCTTTTATTTCAGTTAATTGCTTTTAGCCTGGCTGTCATGTTCCCCTTCAGCACTTAGGGAGTCAACAACATGTAAATAGATCAGAAGCTTTAAAGTTCACTTGGCTCATACGTATTTGGTAATTTCAGAAAAATCTGAAGCTGGGGTTAGCATGGCAGCCAGCCCTAACATTGTCAGGAAGTGTTGGCAATGACCACCTCCATTACAGGAACGCCTTTTTTGGGGGGGGGGTTCTTGTTTAAAATTGTACACCAAAAAAACAACTCAGCTGTGCCAAGCACTCCGGAAGGTTTCTACCTTTTTAACCTGCTTTCCCACAGTATGCAAATGTAATATCTGTTTTTTTTTTTTTTAAACAGAGGCTTCAGAAAAGAGCTGAAAGATTTAATGTTCCTGCCAATGTGGATACCAAAAAGGCAGCCCGTGCTATACGGTAAGTCTTGTGGGTGTCACGTGCAGTTTTTGCATATGATATTTATGCAATAATTTACTTCAATTCAACTATGTACTTCAATATTCTCCATTTATATTTGCTCACCTTTTTGTTTTTTCTTGTAAGGTTCGGTCTTCCAGCCACTGAGCAGAAAGGTGAGAATAATAACGGATTTGTAAATTGGTGATTGAGTGATTGTGGTCCCTCATTCACGTTTTCTGTTTTTTATACCAAATAACTATTTTATATTTCCTCTTTTTTTCTTTTTAGGGGAGACCACAGGAGTAAAATCGTTGGTAAGTTTGTGTCCAAACATATTCCAAAAGAGTGAAAACTGTTTATTGCCAATTGGTGCCACATTTAACATTTTAAGAGTAAAATTAATTAGGTAAAGAATGTATGCTACATAATTTTATTTGGAGAAAAGACCAAGTTTTTAAACCTAGCATATATCGTATTATTTTAGTAGGATTTGTTTTGTTATTGGTCTATTCCAAATAGTAAACAAAAACCTTTTGTCTGTTGGTGAAAAATCTTCTAGCCGAGTACTGAAAAACTAAAAGAGCGAGCTCAGAGGTTTGGTGTCAGCGTTTCTCCCGTCACAAAACAGGTAAGTGATTATCACTGTTTTCCTGTTTGTCAGATACACTTTTTTAATTAAAATAAGTAAATTAAAATGGGTAGCGTAGTGAATACCTAGCAGTACTTTGTACTGAATTCATTCTATTTTTCAATGTCTTCAGATTGAAGGATACGAATCCAGTCAATCTCAAACACTGATCTGTAACTGCAAATCTGTAGGGTCTCTATTCTGAAAACATGAGCTCACTCTTCAGCATTTGTCTGTAAAATGTTCATGTTTCTTGTATAACTATAGTACACTTTTTTTGATGCAGTGGTTCTCTGACCAAACCATTTTATACGTAGGGTAATCTGTGGTGTACCGTGTATAAAGTGAGCATTGGCCACAGAATGTTTTAGCACCAGAAACCACTTTAGATTGTTTAGAAAGTCTCCTGAGAACTTTTAGCATGGCTGGTGATTGCCCTATCTGTATTCTGAAATGGGTGCACTCACTGTATTCGCCACCCGGCTTCCTGATTGGCCTGAGAGCCGTCACCTGGTGACGAGGCAGCACGGAGACGGCTTCCCAGCTAACTGGTAACCCGGGCGGCGAGTCATTGCACTCGATACCGAAAAACCACTATCTGTGCATCCCCCAATCGTGATTCTGTAATTATATATTATTATGTATAGTAATTGGAAATAAAGATTGGCGAGGAAGCAATCTGACACAACTTATCTAAAAAATTGTCCTTTTTGTGAGTGGTGTGTGTGTGCGTTTTTTTTTCTCCCTCCCCAGATGCAGAAAATGTTTTAATAAAATGTAAATCATTTGAGGTCTCCCTCATCATTCCTCTTGTGTTAAATTGTCTGTTACACAAACGGTTGGGAGGTCTGACCTTAGCAGTTTACAGCTTAATAGCACATAGGTTTTCCCGGTTTATGTAGCATGAAATAAACCGGATGTAACCGTGCCATACGTTTTATGATTCTTTAGTTGGGTATTTTACTATTTGCAGATGCTTTGTATAGGCACATTGTTCAGGGTTCTGTGAGTTAGTTAATTTAGCACTTCTTAAAAAAAGGAAGCGTTATTGAGTTTTGTGAATTGACTAACTCTAAACAGCAACTATATAACAAGCAATATCAATGAAATAACGGCCGAAATGAAGAAAATAAGCTTTGTGAATTGACCCCATAGTATGTTAACCAGTCATAGCTGTTATGTGAGGGTTTTACATTGACTTCTTAAGTTGCTTTTGTTTTTTGTTTTTTTTTCTTCTAAGTTTATTGTCTGAATTCAGTTTCTGCTGCACCAACATATGGAAACCTAGGCGGAGAGTAACTGCTTTTATCTAATCAAACAATCCTTTGCTTTATACGGTCCCTTGTAATGTGTCTGTGTGTTTGACCGTCCCAGGTGTGCCCTCGTGCTACCCCTCCATCTAATCACCAGATCACAAAATTCAAGCAAAGTAAATCTCACACTGTAGTGTTAGCCTGCAATAAGATGCATTTATGGGGGTCCAGTTAACTGCCTTTGTCTTGTAGCATGCATGACATAGTCACACCTCCCTGTTGGAAAGGTTATTGCTTCTTTTTAATAAATGCAAGAACCCTTCCCCCAGCTCATTTATGGCTCTTTTATTCCTTCTATTTTTTTGTGAGCCACATTCCAAATTCGGGCAGGGCGCTTGAAACATTTTCTGTGTTTTTGTTTTTTTTAAATGTTTCTTGCTGGCATGTATTTTTATCTTTCAACTTTACTTAAATGTTTTTAAACTGTTTGCTTTACAACAATTGGAAAAAATAGAATTGCTACACACTCTAAGACCGTTGCCCACAGCATGAAGCCTTATTGAGCAAGAATGTGCATAAAGCAATGATTGTGTACAAAGTGCAGTGATCCATGGCAACCACATAGATTTATTCATAAAAATCATGTGACAACAGGAATTGGAAATTTGGTTGCTATAATTTACTAAAGTTTTTGAACATAATCATTGCTTCTTACACTGCCTTCCTATGGCTGTCGCATGACTGTCACTCTGCCTATGGCTGTCGCATGACTGTCACTCTGCCTATGGCTGTCGCATGACTGTCACTCTGCCTATGGCTGTCGCATGACCGTCACTTCTCCTGTGACTCCTCCTCCAGCCATGCAGGTCATTGCACAAGGATTGGCGGCAACTTTCCACTTCCAGCAGACTTTTCACCCACATCTGTGTTGCAATAGCTGTATTAGGGATTTCCCGATACAAGCATCGGTATCGGGACCGATACAGGGCATTTTGACAAGTACAATGCCCCGATACAGCGCCGAAGCTTGCGCTGGTTTTTTTTTTACTTACCTCGCCAAGCGTCACTGCTGCTCCAGTGGTCGGCGCTCCAGGCAGTCGCCGACCACCTAAATTAGGACCCCACCTGGAGCGCCGCCCACCGGAGCAGCAGTGACGCAACGCTTCTCTCCAGATCAGCGCCGACAACATCCTCACGTGTGAGGCACCGTGATCGAGGCAACAGTGAGTAAGACGGGGCCTGGGCTTAGTGTTTTCTGTGAACAAGAAGAATCTATTGCTGCAGTGCATTCTATATGTACTGTATATGTGCTACATATAGAATGCACTGCAGTAGATGTACAATTCTGACCTGCTAACATGAATGGGTTAAATGATCCGTAGTACATGTTATGTACTATTATGTACTATGGATCATTTAAAGTCACCTGTCCCTTTAAAAAAAAAAAAAAAGTATCGGCAAGTACATGAGGGGAAGTACTTGTACTTGGTCCTGAAAAAGTGGTATCGGGACATCCCTAGTTCGAGAGTTTTCACATTTTTTTTGGCGCCAGTGATTTTTCATCTACATTTCTATTTACAGTATTCACTAAACAATCAAGTTCTGTTCTAGCCATTTCCTTAGAATGTGAAGAGTATCTTTTACCAGGGATATTTTCAGAGAAAGAAATCCTCATCAAATGGCCTTTTCTTTGGGGAGTAATTTCAGATCTCTGCCTAATTTCTTTACATCATTAATATAGAATCCAGCGATACATTAGCCTATGTGTCATACATTCTTCACCTGATAACTAAGCAATTGCAAAATGCTAAACAGTCATTTGTCGTGTTACGAGAATGTCCACTTTATTCAGTAAAACTTGACAAATTGTTAGACATGCTAGAATAGTGGCCCCTCTGGCATGATGATGGTCTTTCAGATCCACGTTTTGCATAAGTATCTGAGACCTATTCTGAAGTTGCAGAAGGTAGGAGCCAGGTTT